GGTTAAGTACTAAATCCAATGAAGAGAATTAACTATAGGGAGGAAGATACACAAATGGGAAACTAGCAAATATAGGATAGAGATACGAGTTTTGGTTATTAGACATAATTCAAGAGTTACCCAATAGATGATTGGTTTCTTCCTAGCTCAGTAAAATGTCCCAAAGCTAACAACATCTGTAACTTCCCTTGAGCTGAATAAAATGATTAATTTGTGTCATGAAAGTTCCAATTAGCTGAAGATTTTAGGGAAGGAAAACACATTTAAAAGTCCAGAAGAGGCCAGAACTAAAGAACTGATGTATGAGCTTCAAGACTTGAGAGCACAACAAAGCATCTTCAGTGTACCTGAGTGTCCTTTGAGTCTTGTTTGACAGTTTCAAGAACCCATGTCATCTTCTGTTATTCACACTGATACCAACACAGCTCAAAACCTTCACTATTCTTTGCATCAGATCGAGTGAAAATATAGCAACTCTTTCAGAGAATGAACATGCCCAGCTGGGAAGTCATGGAGAAGACAAAAAGAAAGGAACGTCAAGTAAAAAGAAAAAGAACTAAAGGAAGGAACCGTCTAAGGTGACAATAATGTGGCTGTGTGTGATAGTTTGTGGAGTGCTTGTCTCTCTGCTGTAACACATCATGTCTGATCTCTGATTTCCAACACTTTCAATATGAGCTTCACCCACCTCCAGTAGGCTGGGGTTTGTTCCATAGAGCAAAGGTCACTGAATGAAGTCTTTCCTAAAGATCCATCCAATGTATCATAACATAAGCAAAGGTTGTAAACTTACTGATGATAGTAAATGTGGATAGAAGACAGTAGAGAAGAACGCTAGAGATATGAGAATACTGCTCTCAGAACACAAGGAAGATGAGACATTTACATGGGTATCACCGAACTACTGTGAACTTTTTTCAGAGTAGTGACCTATCAGGGTAGGCAAGTCAATTGATCAAATGACCTACTTTTTACTATTATGTTAAACGAGAGTATATTTTTTTGATTCTGTTTTTCATGGCAAATTTTAAACAATAACAACTGCTTAGAGTTTTTAAAAAGCAGTGCTGCTGATAAAATTCTATAACCAAATCAACAGTTGCATTAGATGCCTTTGACCCTGGGGCTCTTAACACTAACTGTATGTTGAAATGTTCTGTGTACTTTACAAATGCTATGACTCAGAACTCACACCAGAGGCTGGTTGGTTGGTTTGGAGTATAGTCTTTGGCCCAGAAACCAGTATGTAATGGAAGTCAGTCAGCTAAATGTATGAGAATCAGGAGCTGGGAATCACTGTCCCTATCAAAACCAAAGTGCATTCTATGTGAACAGCCTACAGATGACCTAAGCTGATACTCACTAAAACAAACCGCCAGGGTCCTTCTAGTAAATATGACAGCCATGTGTTGTGGAATATTAGTTGAAGATGTGTTACATTTGTTTATGCTGTGGAATATTTGTTTAATGATGCAAAGATGTGTTGCATTCTTTTATGTTATATTTCTTTAATTCTGTGACATTGTGTTACTTTGCCTGTCTAAAACACCAAATTGGTCTAATAAAGATCTGAATGGCCAATAGCTAGATAGGGGAGAGAAATAGGTGGGACTGGCAGGCAAAGAGAATAAATAAGAGGAGAGGGGAGAGAGAAAAGGAGAAAGAGAGGAGGATGCCAGGGGCCAGCCACCAGACACTCAGCCACTCAGCCACACAGCCACACAGCCACAGAACCACAAACCACACCGCCACAGAACCACACAGCCACTCAGCCAGCAACGAATTAAGAAGTAAAGGAAGACATATAGAATAGAAAAAGGTAAAATCCCATGGCAAAAGGTAGATGGAATAAATTAGTTAAGAAAGGCTGGCTAGAAATAAGCCAAGCTAAGGCTGGGCATTCATAAGTAAGAATAAGTCTCCATGTATTTATTTGGGAGCTGGGTGACAGACCCGCAAAGAGGTAAGAAAACAAATACAGTCATGCTTATTCTCTGTTGTTGATACTTTCCTGTAGTTATTTTCTGATGAGTGAGTGGTGGTTCTGTAGCACAAGTACCAGTTGAACAGATATACAGGTAGGTGTGTGTGTGTGTGTGTGTGTGTGTGTGTGTGTGTGTGTGTGTGTGTTATCAATGTGTTGCTGGAGATACATTTGAGTATACATGCAAAATTCATGACCTACCAAACATATAAATATAGACATGTATGTAATCACTGATTATCTCTTCTAAGAACACTCCTATATATAGCTGGGTAGCATACTTCCTTACCCCATGGTCATGACAACATAGAAGTATCTATGGCTATATAAAACACTGTATATTAGGTTCAAATGATTGGCCAGGCAGGGTCAGTGCTTACATTCCTGACCAATTCTTAGAAAGAGAACAATCCAGAGGCATTGGAAAGTGTGGTTAGAGTACTGCTTATGAGCCGTGATTATGTATATTTTATGTTCTGTTGTTATTGGAAACTGTTCTTGAGACCCTGGGAGCCTGGCAGTCTGATGAATGCCTGAAAACCTATTAAAAAGCAATCTGAAATGCATTTCAGGTGAAATCAGTTTTACCAAAGTGTAGATGACTTCATTCATCCTAAAGATATAATTAGAACGGAGACTGAATTGGTTTTTCTTTTTATACAATATATTACAAATATAGACTTCCTTATTCCAGCATCAGCATGTGTATTTCCTTTAAAAAAAAAAATCCCACGTCAAAAAGAGCTGTATATTCACAGCTCTCCAAAAGCAGAAGCATAAGAAAAGACACTGAAGGTATTGTTTCTCTTAGACTGACTTCTCTGCACATGTCAGACAATTAAGACAGTGATGAATTACGCATTACTGTACAAAATTTTTTTATCAGAGGCAAAATTCAAATTTGTTCTGCTTAAGGTAAGTAGACAAATTTTCTCACTTAGAAAAAATCATATTTTTTTTTTAGTATTTGGTCAAGAAAGAAAAAAAAATTTCATGTTGAATACATAGATTCAATTTCTACTGAATAACCTACAAGTTGTACCATAGAAAACATTTATCGACTAAACTAACACAAGGTTATTTGGAAAATGCTTTAGAACTTGTGTTTACTAAGAGACCAGTAACCTTTTTATTCCCAAACTATAAAATATTAGAAACGAGAATAATATGCTTCCATATGGCATATGCTAAGTAAGTCTAGTGTAGTGGTTTTAGGTAAATACACTTTGTTACTGAGCAAGGTTGTTTATTAGGAATAGTCCTACAATGTAATTTTTAATTATCTGATAAATTTACACTTGGCCAGAGAGCCAAAGATAAAATCTCAAAGCTAAAATTTATTTTACTGTTTAAGTAACTGAAAAATGTGTAAAACCACAATGATAATGTGTTTTGGATTTATAGCACTTGTTTGTTGTCAAGGTTTATTAAAATTTTAAAAGGAGAATAAACTATAGCCATGAAAGACTGCACACATATTAGTATATGCCAATGTACAGGTGTGATTTAAAAGTTGATTTGAGATTAACATTACACAATAATGTAAAATCTAGAACAAAACATTTGAGAAGCAATTCATTTGAAAAACAGTTTTCACTTGAGAAATGACAGTTTAAAAACCTATTTGAGAGAAAACGAGGAACAAAGAATTTCTAATGACTTTCTCACTCAGTGGGTTGCGCACTACATGGAGGTGGTGGCAGATCTGTACATAAGACTGAGTGCAATCCCTTGAGCCTTGCAGGGATGATTAACAGAAAAGAAATGCTCTGCACATTTGAGGCAGGTGCTCTGAACTCCCCTATTATATTTCCTACAAAACACTTTGCTCTTTCATTTACTTACATGACATAAGAAAAATGTGTGCCATTAGAAGCAAGTTGACCTGTAAAGAGGTGAGTCAAAGCAGTTAGGTTAGACTGTATCTACACACAGCAGGGCCGTTGGAAACATAACATCAAGTAAATTAAGCAGTGCGGTCCATCTATCGTTCTATGCAGAAAGAAAGAAAATTTTCTGATCTCTTTGCCAAGCAGTAGAAACGTTCTGGGTAGCTTACTAGATCTTTTCCACATGCAGACAAGTTCAACCTCATCTTTGTGAGACATTGCTGAAGTGTTTTGCAATCCATCCTTTTTTTTTTTTTTTTCACTGATTTTTTTTTTCATGGCTCATTGGCTGAGTGCCTGTTAATTACTTGTAGTTTAAAGCCCTCACAAACAAAATGTAGGATTTTTGTGAAGAAAATGTTTTTAGAAAACACATGAAGTAACCTTGGTAATAAATCAGTGATAAGCCAAATGGCACCAATTAACACTTATTTCAAAGAAGTCCATAACAATGAGAGTGTGAGAGACATGAAGTACTCAAATCTCCCACAGAGTCTGCATAGATAATGTCGCAAGCTTGACAGAACCATAGAAGTGATGGGTTTGCATCACATAAAGCTTAGGTGTACGGTTTTGAAGCCCTATTAATATTAGTAATTCATTTTAGAAACCAATGTCTTTTAGCCTCCATCCTCTCAATGATTGATTAGAATTCCTAACACTTCACTGGGTTATTACATGAAATGATACATATAGAGTGTCTGGAGTTTAATAGATATGCACATATTTACATGTTTAATTCTTGCCTCCAATTGCCAATTTAAGAAAAATCTGAACAAAATGAAGCTCACTTTCCTCTTTGTTACTGCATCAGTATATGAACTAGGAATAACAGAATGATAAATTCTTCAAGCAGATTTGTATTCAACATAAAAGTCTTTAAAGTGTGGATTGTGAAATCTATGCAAAAGTCACATGATATAGAATTACTGAATAGCCTAAAAAGAAACAAAAAACAAAAAAAACCTTAAGGACTAAAAGTATGCAGTGATGTATATGAGCATCCTAACCTGAAAACCTGTTTTTAATGACTCCTTTAAATATTTTCTAAAAACTTTGTAACTTTTCTTATTTAAACTTTAAAACAAAATTTCATGGCGTAAAATTAAAAGCAAAAACGGGTAGAATGCATGTTTGTTAGACTTTTATTGAATCCATCCCAAAATGAAAAAAATATTTGATTTTAAAACCTGCTAATTAGTTAAAGGCAGTGAAACCAAGGGCTAATTTATATAATTAAAAAGTTGAAAATTTAGTATAGTTCATGAGAATATTTTCATACTCAAGTTCACATATATTAATTTGATGAAATAAATTATTGCCAAGATAGGAATTGCTGAACCTGCTTGAAAGAATAAATAATTTACTGAAAGTCAACAAATGAAGCTAACATCATTTTGGCAAATTTGAAATACTTTTACAAGAGGTTTTTTTTTTCTTTTACAAACAACTTTTCTGAAGATTAGCAACATCACTCAATTGCACCAACAGCTTTTCGCAAGGATAGAGTCTGTCCCAATTTTGATTCCAATTATTATTGTTTAAATGTTATGGCACTATTATACTTTTGAAATCTTATGTATTTCTAAAAATACAAGCATTGTGAAGTCAAACAGTGAAAATTATCCACATGTTTTGGAACTAGTACAGAAAATAGTTGGGTTTCATACCTAAAAATGACCAAACTTCTCTTCTATATCATGGGATTCTGTTTCACATTGCCTTAATTCCAACTGGTTCACAAGTTCTTTACATTTTTCATGTGATCATTTTTAGATCCATTACCACCATCTTCCTTTCTCTTACTACATGCTCAGTTATTATTATCTATTCAAGAAACCTTCCTTTAACTCAGTTGTACTCTAACAGTGTGTAACTACCAGTATCAAATGATAATACAGTCACGATCTCTGCTAAAGGAAAACACGCTATGGAAATCTTGGCTTCTCGTCATCTGTTCTGTGACGGCTTGTACGTGATATTTATGGATAAGTCACACGAGCATTCACAAAAATATTTGAGCTACATTCTTCAGTCTCCAAGAAGATAATTCTTTAAATATTTAATTAGCAGTGGATTTGAAGTCAGCATGATGTTGTATGCTTTGTTATGATTTATCTGTTGCATCTGATACAGTGCCAGAGTTCCACAAAATCATTTGTTCGCAAGCTAGTCTCCACAGATTTATACACATTTGACTGAATATTGTTTTCAACTATTTAGATTATATAGCCTCCTGTGTGTATTCTGACCATCTGTAACTGTTATCTCTTTCCACTATCAGAAGTGGGTGTTGAAAGTAAAGCAAAGCATCACAGTCTTAAGGTTTCATTTAAACTACGTTCAATAACAGATCTGCAATGGGAAAGAAACCAACAGACTTAATTGTGTGTCCCGATATTTGACTACTTACACTGACCAAAGAAAATGGCAGTTAACATGTTCTTCCAGTAGTTTGAAATCATACAAATTTGAAATATAAATGTTAAAGATAATAGAGCAATTGTGGATGTGTTCAAATATATATTCTGATGTTGGTCTAGAATGTGTGAAGTCTCAAGCTAATGAGATAGATAGATATAAATTAACAACACAGATGTATGTTAGTTGTAGACCATCTATGTTGAGAGATTTAGATTATATCATAACTGGGGTTTTAAAGGTGTGAATGGCTGTTTTCAACTTCATTTCATCTTCAGGAAGAAGTCAAACATGCATTATGTTTCTGTGAAGAATCAAATCAGCATGTGTCAAAGTTATTGATAATGGAATGAGTTTTAGAAATTCATGGCATAATATGAATAACCTTGTAATTTTATATATATATATATATATATATATGTATGTAAACTGAAATATCAGAAAATCCCAATATAATATATTTATCTTAAAATCATATGAAGCAAAGGAGATTAAGGCTCAGCAAAAGTGCATGCTAATGAATTTCAAAAAAACATAGCCAGTATTATGGATGTCAGCCTTCTAAGTTTGAAATCATGTATTTTTAAAACGTCAAAGACTGTAAAAAAATTTATGGGAAAATGTGTAAAAATGGGGAGGACATTTTATTTACAAGTTACTTGGAGATAATGAATACCCAAAGTGGCAAATAATCTAGTATTTTCTAATTAAAACAAAGTTTTGCTGTTATACATATATTGGCACAGGAAATTCTTGAGACTAGATGATGAAAACTTTCAATATGTTGTTATTTCACATAGATAATTGATTTGTAAAACACACAAGAGAGAAAGATAAAAACTCTAAGTAGAAAATATAATTTTATAGCTACATTTTACAGAATATTCCAAGAGATATCATTGGTTATTTTATTATTTTGAAAATATTACTTATTTAAACAACTAAACAGAACCTTTAAAGCCCAATATAACTTCAACATTGGAAAGGTTAAAGAACTGAAAAATGTGTAGAGCAAAAATGCCATCTCAATGCCATTGGTACCACTATATTGTTGAACAAGTATTGTATGAGGTATAAACATGGTACATAAGGATACACTGAGGATTTAGATTATAGCTAAACCAGTTGTGTTAAAGGCCACTAAAATACTAAAAGACAATCATGACTATTAATAGCAGGGAGGAAAAAGAACTCAGAAAGCCCCCAAACTCAAAGTTGGAAATGATGACTCACTTAAAATAAAAAGCCATTACTCTGAATTTTTAGTACTTCAGGAAACAAAACAAGACATCTACATCTACCTTGGTCAGTTCTGTCTCATGAACGAATTTACCAGTGGTATAATGGATATTTGGAGCCTTCACAACTGTATACTATTTATGAGAATTATGTTTAAGAACTTGCTCACGTCTAATAGATAACCTAAATTTCAGATTTCATACTAAGCATGACCATGACTCTTTAACACCACAGAGTACTTAAAATTTATGTATTTTAGTTGAGTGAAGTGTTGAAAAATTTAAGTGTAAGAAACAAACATTAATTGCTTACATAATTAGGTTCAAATTTAGTTGTAACTTAGTCTATGGATTGGGAAACTGTTTTTTTTTTTCATTTCTACAAACAAAATAATTCTAGGACTCCTGTTTTATAAATAATTTTTCCCCAGTATTGAGTGATGGTCTCTGAATCCATTGTTTCGGTGATTTGTAATATTTGGAAGAGCTAAACACCACAGGAAAACAGAAAGGGGTTTCACAACATTTGACTCAATTATAGTAGTTGTAATAGGTATTTTACAATGCTAAACTTAAAGTATGTTAACTCTGAAGCAAGGAACTGGCCTACTGTGTGGGAAAAGCACTGAAATATAGTTGTGTTACACACAGCCATGGAAATGGCTCTTCAAAATTCCCAGGTAGAACAGGGTTGTTAACTTCCAAAGGTTTTATACATTAACACAGCATAAAAGCAACTCTGTATCGTAAGGGAGGGCACAACTGGCATAAAAGGTCATTAAATGCTAATAGACCTGTTGAGGTATGGTTGCTTAATGGAGGATAGGAGCAATATACACATAAAGATCAACACACAGAGAGAATTTAACTCTGCACTATCTCAGGTAAGAAAGACAAAGGAGCTATAAATAAACACTTTCTTAGTACCAATGATTCTAAGTTTACACAAAATTGGTTTATGCAATAGGAATGTTGACCAAAATAATGACAGATATTGGTGAAAGGATGCCACTGACTTAAGGGAATTTGTAGACTGATTAGTTTACACATATGGTTTGTTAGGATTCATCTTCATGTAGTAGACTAGATCGTTCTTCAGCACATAGATGAAAAAGCAGTTAAGAAAGTGAGTTACAAAGTAGGAAGGCGAGTGTTGAGATAAATTATGCGAAGCCTTTTCCAAGTGTCCACACGTTTATAAAAAAGAGTTAAATTTCCTTTGATCCGAAGAGATTTCTTCACACAGGTGCATTTACAACATATTATATACATATGGAGCTTTCTTATGTACATGTGCATATGTACATACTATCTATACATCTCTGCAAGTGTATACACAGCTTTAACTCAAAGAAAATGAGTTAGCAATGCAATCATCATTGCCAGACAATCCAAGTGCTGAAAACAAATGATACAAATTGTTCACAGAGCTGCTTTATCTCTCCTGTTGGCCATGGCTGAGGATAGAATTCCCTTCTGAAGATTTTACTTTCATTGCAACACTGATTGTCATAGATAATCTTTGTGCTTTTGCATAATGCCCATCCTGGATGTACATATATTCACATACAACATTGGACATGTTAAATAAGCATGCTGGAACACAGGCAGGACCATACATCCATGCACAGAATATTCTGAATAGGATTTTCCAAACTGACTGCAACATCAACATGCACCACTATCATATTTGGTCCCGAACAGCAGGGAATGTACAGCTGAAGTAGCCAGGGCAAAGAGTCACTTGCAAGAGTTTCTATACAGAGGAACATCCAGTGGAGAAACAAATGCAGAGTGAATGGAAGGAAGAAAAATACCCACCACCCAAACAGACAACAGCAACAACAAAAAGTTCTCCCACACATTATCACTGAAATTCTGGCTAGCCTCCTTATTCCACAGAAAGCAGGTCCTCTCAAAACTCTGAGTTGAGTTCTAAGCAAGTGACACACATTAGTGCCTCATGGCCTTCCCCAGCCACTGGAACAGCTCATCCTGATAAAGCCTTTTCCAACGCACATTGGCTTCCACGGTTTCCACAGCTCGTGAGAATGAGGCAGACGCTACCCCATCATAGGTCTTCATGAAGTTCTTTAGCTGGAAATAGAAAGTGAACACGGTGAATCTACGTGCATTTATGCGAATCCATGTAGAATATGCACGAATAAGGAGGCATTTGAGATGAAGTGTCATGTAGAAACCTAGGACAAACTTGAATGAACCCTCTAGCTCTATTTGTTTTGAGTTATATTTAAAAGGTCACGCACCCAAACATTGCATTCTTAATTTTCCACTGCCTTTGCTGTATAGGGCTAACATCTCTGGTGTGTTGATTATGATGATAGGACTTGCCTGTGGTACTTTTCAGACCGCATTTGTTTAACCTACTAGAGTTACTTAGGCCTAAGCAGTTGTCCTCTATATAACATTTTGATATTTTAGGACCAATATCTCTTCCCATGTATCATGGTAACACTGGCATTTTCTGACCAGGGATCCTATGAAAAGCTATGAAGGGCAATTCTGAGTGAACAACACACCGATCCCATCACCGTTAAATGCTGTCCCTAACTTAAATCCCCCAGCCTGTCTACCCCATGTGTACTTCCAAACCCTATTCTCAGATTTGTAGGTTTGAGACACTTTCACTCATTTCTCCGCATGTGGCCACCTTATGAATACTCTCTTTTTTCTTTATAAAACCCAAACTTACATTTCACTGAGTGACATAGTGCTCCTTCATTGAATGGATTGGATTGGTAACATAATCGTGATAGGAAGTAAATATACTATTGTGGAACAAGTTTGAAATGAGAAGAAATACTGTAGGAGGTGGGAAGAATGCAAGAGTTAAAAGATCAGGCTGCAAGCATGCTCCAGGCAAGACACAATCATTGCAATCGTGAACCCACGGAAGTTGCAGTTACTGGTGAATGGCCTGCAAGACCCTGGCCCCTTCATCAGTCAGTTTCATATGGAAAGGGGGCTCATAAGGCCCTGCACGTTACTGCTGAACCAATTGGTTAACGATAGAGTTGTGAAGAAAAACAGTTTCTGTCCTTAGTTGTATTAACTGCACCCTCCCACCCCAGCAAGCCCACCAGGTTCCAATGAAAATTTCCAAAACTATAGTCACACAGGTGCCCTTGGTTAAGCTCAGTGGGTCAACAAACAAAACATAGAAGACATGGGGTGTAGGAAATTGATTTGTAGAAAAGAGGGGACTAGACAGAGGTTGGGAAGAGAGGAGGGTCAGGAGTAAGAGCAACTACATCTGTGAAATTGTGAAGAACAAATTTAATTAATAAAACCACATTTAAAACAATAGGTTGTATCTATGGGTGACATGCTTTACTCTGAAATGCAAAGAAAAAAATATGTGGGCACTACAATTTCAGTTACTCCAAATGTAGTTTCTTGTTTCGTTCATAGATAACTGTAGGGAGTGGAGGAATCCTGTGTAAAAGTGTGTTTTGACAAGGGCACAGATCCCAAGATGAATTGGTCCATAGTATATTGGTAAAGCCATTATCCATATGGTCCTGGGTAAAGAGGGATGGCAAAGCTTTTTTTTGGGAGTTGGAATGTGAGTGTTTATGAAAGATTAATTAGTCTGTGCAAAGAATAGGGACTATGGCATTCTCCTCCTGGATGTTGAGGATGCTTATATGTAGAGACTGTCTACTGATACCAGGTAACCACTCCCCTGTGCTGTACCTAATAAACCAGCTGAGATTGCAATTTGTGGTGGAAGTAGTAGGTAGCAAAAGAAAACCCTGATCCCAGCTTCCCTATATCTATCATTCCACATATATATCATTACCTTGCTGTCCATAGCTAGAGTTCTAGGACCCAAGCCACACAGAACACAGCAGATAATAAAATAATCAATTTAATTTATCTATTAAAAATAGGTTGGTGGTTTGCTTCAAAGACCAGTTCTAATTACAAGGCATGTTCAACATAACAAAGAGCCTCAGAAACTAAATGTAATGCTAAAGGTTCACTTTTTTCCTTTAAATAGAGAAAATTGTTAGTCATGTTCTCCTTTTTTTTTTTTTTTTTTTTTTGGTTTTTCGAGACAGGGTTTGCCTGGCTCTGCCTCCCAAGTGCTGGGATTAAAGACATGTGCCACCACTGCCCAGCTATTAGCCATGTTCTAAAAATACACAGTATAGGACTTAAAACTATCTTCAGTGTCAAAAGTAACTGGACTTTAGAACAAAGAAGTCATGCAACAAAAACTGGGTGATTAATGACATTACAACCAACCAAATAGATTTAGAAAGGATAAGGAAAAAATACTGTCCCATTTAGTCAGAGAATTTGAAGTTAAAACTTTTAAGAGCTAGGTGGTGGTGGTGCATACCTTTAATCCCAGAACTCAGGAGGCAGAGGCAGGTGGATCTCTGTGAGTTCAAGGCCAGCCTGGTGTACAAAGCCAGTTCCAGGATAGGCTCCAACCTGTCTCAAAAACGACAACAACAACAAAAAAAATTTTAAGAGCTTTGTCATAATTGTTACTGGCAGACAGTCTTACTTACGGAGTTCATATACCCTGAAGACTCAAGGAATTTTCTTCAAGATTAAACATCAGCAGCTTCACTTTGTGTTCTGTGTGCCTTAAGAAACTGGCAACCAACCAACAATGACAGTGCTAACAGACAAACGTGAAAAATCAACTCGCAGCAAGGAGACATTATGTAGTGTAATTACTGTGGGGTGTGATTCATCACATGGAAGGTGCCATATGGAGGCTCTGCCAGGAGAGAGATAGAGGACCTCAAGATGAGATCTGGGCAGGAAGACTGAGGTACGGAGGTGTTGAAAACACGGTTAATTCTACATCTCCAAATTAACTTGGATTTTAGTTCATGGACAGCTTGGTTTGTTTCTGATGGTGTTATTTTATTACTTGACACTGATGAACTTTCTGAAAGTTTACCAACTAACAATGTTGGCAATGGAAAAGCCTATCACAGAACTGCATACTTGATATCAAAGTCACTGTATGTTAAAGCAAGCATAAGCTATCTAATGCATAACTGAGAATTATTTTATTGTCATAAAATCAATGTAATGTTTGACTAAAATTATAGATATTAAGAAAAAGAGGAATAAAGAATGGATTGAGAGTATTTTTGCATATTTTCAACATAGGCACTGCCCTATACAAACATATACCATAAAGTATGCTTATACCCACAAATATATGCACACAAATTATTTGGATTATTAGAAATTCATTAGTACAATGGTACATTCTCATTCACATACTTATGTTCAGATAGATTCTATGACCATTCAGCAACAAATAATATATTTTATTCCATTTTGAATTGTGTGATTTATTATAGAATATATTATAGTATACTAAATTAATATTACATATCAATGAAAATTACACTCATTCTCTTCAAAATGTGTTCTCCATTATCATTTTGTTTCTAGGCATTCATTGAACATTCCAAATAATGATCAATGGTCTTTTGACAACTTTCCCTTACATGAAGATGCTCAGGTCTCTTCATGAAACAAGCTGAACACTTGAGAAAACTAAACCACAGGCTTGAACATGATTGGATACAAAGTCAGATTATCGTGTAAGAGAACTCTGTAGATAATGTAACTAATGGATCTCTAGAGTTTCATTCTCAAATTATGATTGAAGTGCACTAAATACTTCCCTTGTGAGCTTGGTGATCCTGAGGTGACTCAGACATTGGATGGGGAGCTTAGCCATCAGAGCATATTTGGCACATGTTCTGCATTTGCCATAAATTGATCTTGTGGCCTGTATTCCTAAGTACTGCTTATGGAGAATGTGAGTTCAGAGCTTTCTCGCAGGTCCCTGAGGGGCCTGCAATGTCTGGCTGAGCTTGCTTGTCTGTGCAGGCTCAGCATAGACAAAGGCACTTAGCATCCGTTCTGCTGATTTCACAGGCTCTTTTCTGCCACCATTAGGTTTTATCTTAATTGGGTTTTCAGATATTTATCTGTCATGCTTTTATTCTGGATAAGTGTAGACGCTTTTCATAAAATAAAATTTAGTAAAATGTCAGTGTTGTTCATGCCTTCTGATTTTCTTAGCACAATTTCTAGGTGAGTTTATTAATCTAGCTCTTAAATTTTGTTTAACATTGAAAACCATCTTGTTTAAGGGTATCCTCGACTCCGGCATCATAAAGTACTTTAAGAGAGAATTGCAAAGCATAATAGAATCTTGATAATCATAGAACTAAATAGAAGAAGCTATTGGTCTATTATGAGGTAAAAGACTTCCCCATTAAAGTTGTAAATGGAGTCTCTGTGATGGAGAAGATGCATATGCATTTATAATAGGGCTGTGTATTATGTTCACAGAGAAACCAAGGACACTGGCAGTGTTCAATGGACATTCGTTGGAAAATTGCAAGGTCTCTAGGTTCTATGAGGTTATGTTTCTGCTAATTCAAAAATTAAGGAAAGAATGATTTGCCTCATGAAGGACTATCAGTCAAATTGCTAGTTCCACGTAATTAAGAAGAAACTCCAGTCTCAGGTACTAGAACAGTTTGAGGGAAGAGCCCATAAAATAGAATTTATCTACTTAAAAGTCATTAAAATATTGTAGCTGATAAATTATTTTTTTAGGGACTGGAGAGATGGCTCAGCTGTGGAGAGCATATTGTTTTTGTAGTGAACCCCGGATAAGTTCTCGTCACTATCCTCAGTCAGCTGAAACAGCTTGTAACTCCAATTTAAGGGGCTCCAAAAGCCTAGTCTGGCCTCTTGGGTGCACCTGGACTTGCACCACATACCCACATACAGACATACACAAATTGTGTAATTAAAAATTAAAAACAAGGTCATAATTCACGAAGGTGCTGATCCCCTTCAGATCTACAGGCTTAGCAATAACAAGGTATAACCTCAATGGGAAGACATTGATCTTCCTTAACACTTTCTGCTTAAGGAAGGGGTGAGTGACAACAGAAATTAAATCCTAGCCCACCTGAAAAATAACATTCCCTACACCTACACCCAAAAAATGGCTAGGTGGGGAAAGTCTGGAAAGGCTTCCAGCAGAACAGCCAAACTGGACAGTGAGAGCAAGTATGTCCACAGTAAAACGACTCATTGCTCATTCCACCAAGACTCTGCATTGTTCAGTTATCCGATTCAAAGAGGATGGACTAAAATCCACAATTTAGTTCCAGTTTTTTTGAAATCGCAACTTTCATGAGGGGGTCGCTTGGAACATTAAAAATGGCAATGAATTAAAGAATAAAAATGAAGTAAGTGAAATGCATAAAGCAAGAAGGTTTGCATGTGATGAATTCAACTAAATCTCAATTTAAAATATGATTTTTGTGACCTTTGTATTATCAAAACAAGGAATATATGAATGGTAAATAATGAAAAGAGGGATAAAGGTGAAATGGAGCCAGGAGATGAAAGGAAATAGGATGGACAGGGTGAAGGAGGAGAAAAAAATGGGACTTCTGGGCTCACGTCAATGTTTGTGGGAGTTGTGGGTAACTCAACACTTTATTTCTTGATTATTGAATATTAAATCATGATATTAAAAACACTCAGTTTAAAGGTAAAAATAATGAAAGCAATTATAATTTGCATATGCCTTCTGTTTCCTACGGGTACATTAAAGTTCTCTCCATTTAGCTCCTTTCATTAAAAAAAAAAAAGGAACAAAAATATTCTGGGATTTCAAAGCTAAATCCTCCAAGGTTGAGAACCACATAGCACGGAGAAAGACTGACATTCGAATTACTAGAATCGGAGCTTTAGCTCAGGACAGTACTCATTGTGACAGATCCTAAGTTAGTAAAAGGAGATGCTCTCAGGAAACTGAGCAATATTAGAAGATGTGACAGAGGTACCCGGTCCAATGATTCTAAAGGAATGCTGCTCAATGGGATCATCTGTGGGTCACAGCTTCCAGCTGTCTGTGAAAACTAATGAAACTAGGAATTTTTGTGCTAAATATTAGCTGTATACTGTGGAAGCAGAAGAGGAAAAGGCAGCATCAATTATTATAATCAAATGAAAGAATCTTTATTTTGTTGTTGTTTTTCTGTGTGATTGATAGTCCCCATTTTATATCCCTCTCTAGTACTAGAGGAGTTAATAGAGGGGAAGGAGACATCTAAATGGCTTACACATTGAGAGATATAATAAGAAATTGATAAGATAGATATTCCAGAACCTGGACACAAGTTCATTAAAAACTCAAGCTTATTTTCATTAATAAAATTAATTTGTAATGGAGCCAAGCAATCTATCTTAGGCAAACTATTGCGTTCAATATGTGTTACCAGTAGTGGTATTCCTTCCTACAATATGAATGCATTCTATTTATAGACTGGATAGCTGTTAGCAGGCTACTGTGTCTACATAAGCACTCAGACTTTTACTGTGTACCTCAGCACGAAGCACAGACTCTCTTCTGGACATGTAGTCATTGGCATAGTTGTTATGAATGGTTTACGAACTGAGTTCACAGAATCGTTTGAGAAGCAGTGGTTGGATCTAAGATCTCTGGAATGTCTGGTCCCCAGTTATGGAATTCATTACATTTGAACAGTTTCCACAGCCCTCACCATTGTTCATAGTCATTCAATGCTTAATATGTTAGAGATTTATTTGCAGGAAATTGTGTGTGTGTGTGTGTGTGTGTGTGTGTGTGTGTGTGTGTGTGTGTGTGTGTCCATGCATACACATGCATGCATGTGTTTATGTGCATGTGTGAATGTGAGTATCTGAATACATGTGTCTATGGGAAGCATGCACAGGGGGCAAAAGGAACTTGTAGAGGTTAATGCAAAGAAGTAGTGGAACTGCATTTATAATCTCATGTGTTTACTTAAAAAGATTGTAACAAGATTTTTACCTCTTTAAGTTCGCCTTCTGTATTAAGAAATTCTGTAACTCCACTGATAAGTTTGGAATTCATAAATAATGCTTCTCCATACCTACAAAAACAAAAGAAAACAGTCTTAATGTCTATCGAGGTCATAATTTAAGAAATCTGGCTAGAAGGATTTTTGTAGCATTTCCCAAGGGTTGCATTTGCCAAAGGCCACCAGCTCTCAGGGAAGTACTGGCCACTCTTCTCAGGAGGGAGGGAGGCAAAGGAGCATTTATTGCCTTGGGATTCTATCAGGTCCACCTGGCCTGCTGTACAATGTTTCAGATACCTCCGAAGGTCAATGGGTCTGTGAAAATCCAGGCCTCTAGAAATGGATTCAAGCATCATTGTTCTATTTGCAAGCCAAGACCCAAGAGAGAGGCATTTTTTTAATGCTCTAGTATATAGCAACCAAGATCATTATAAGGATGATCTTACAAGAAATGAAGAAGAGCAAGACCAGTTCAGTCATAACCAGTATGTCACACAGATTCTGTGGTCGTAATAGATCTTGGAATTCTAATTAAGTTTCCGAAACCAAGGCAATTCACACACACACACACACACACAAAAATCATAAAAGAGCATCAGTTGCTCTTATTATTAAATTATCTAGCTATATAAATAAGTAGTTATTAAAATATCTAGTTATGTATTATAATATATAATTCTTACACTATGAACACCATTTCTTGACTTATGATCTCTGGACAATGAATATCTGTGAATAGAAACCTCTCACTTTGTTGATTTGCCTCTACTTCGTTAAGGCCATCTATCACAGCTTTCATGCTCTTAGAACCAAAAATAACAAACAATAAGACTGAGCTTTTAGAGTCAAAGGCCCCATCATTATTACTGAATGCTTTCTTTTGCTTCCCCAACTTGCAGGCTCTTCAGTACTTTAGCTGCTGAAGGACTTAGTTTTATCATGTAAAAGAGGGGATCAAATAGGAGGATTGCCATGATGAGGAAAAGACATTTTAGTCAAAGCAAATAGATGGGCACTTTTTGTATTGTAAACTGCCAGGTGCCCTGGCACAAACCCACAATCTCAGCATTCAGAATACAGAGGGAGGGAGAATGATGTAAGTGTGAGGATAGACTGTTCCACTTAGTGAGCTCCAGGGTGGCTGAGATTACATGGTGACACTGTCTCAAAGAAGTAAACAACCAGTCACTTCAATAATAGTACAAGTGACCATCGTAAAGGTCATGTGGTCAGAAAGGTGGCTGACCGTACAAGAAGAAAAGCCACTTTCTTCTAAGAGAGATCCAATGGTTTTCCTTTACACTCCCAGGTGAGGAAGAGTAGAATATAATCTCTACCTTGTATTTTCTGTAGTTGAGGGCCCAGACATAGAGAGAGATAATTCTCATTAAGTATAACTAGATATAGATTGATGAAATGATGCACAGAATTCAGAGAAGGTCTACAGCTCTGCATTTTAGGAGATGCATATAAACAAGTACGATGTTGTTCTGAGAAAGAAATGCCAAGCAAAGGCAAAGAAGTATCAAACCACGTGGTATGTGAAGACAACTTAAATTTATTGGCATCAGGAGGGCATAAACTGTGAGGCTGGGCCAGAAGAAAAGTCTTTGAGAGGTATACGAAACACACACCATGAAGTGCCTATGTTCAGTGTGGCACAGAATCATTCTTAATTTTATAGAAGGGAGTCATCAACACTTGTTAGAAGTTCTAGACCAAAAAAAAAAAAAGGAAAAGGAAAAAGAAAAAAAGTTACATGTGCATATATATATATATATATATATATATATATATATATATATATATATCAGCAAGTGTGAGTAATGAGACAGAAAGATGGGAGACTACTTTTAGACTAGTAGAGAAGAAAAGGAAAAACAAACAAACGTATGCTAAAGATGTGGTGGTAGAAATAGTGTCCTCAAGAAACACTTAGGATTATTGAGAGGACCTTGGGTCTGTTATTATATACGGCAAAAGAAAGGAGGATGTCTATATAGACGTCTCACTGTGTGGCTTGAGCAAATGGTGAATACTTACTTTACTTACAAGGAAAGAAAGACTAGTGTGAAATATAGGGTTAGTTTTCAGGTATAATCCTGTGGGGGACTTCACAGGAGTGGCTCTACTACGTGTTAACATCAGATGAAAGGTGTGAGTTAAGAGAAATGTTTCTGGGAGAAATAGAAGCCATGAGAGCACATGATACCTAAAACCAGAAGGACCCTGTAAAGTGAGAATATAATATCCTAGACAGCCCTTCCCATGAGCCCTGAGGCTCAAGAATTGAGAGGAAAATAGCAGCTGATAAAAGCACTCCTCCTGGTGAAGATAAACACTACTATATTTGTAGACTGAAATCTCAGTCTTTCTACCTTATGAATCGTGGTCATAGGTTCTCAGGGACAAAATGAGCATGCTGAGAAACAGAGTAAGAAGAAACAAATGATATATGAATGGATTCCACTGAGCTCTGGTTTATAAAGCCAAAGTAAGGTTGGTGTATGTGTTTGAAATCCTTTAAACTGAAATGTTCATACATATTAGTTTCACCTTACTGCCTGTTACATGACTCACTATAAATACAATGGCAATGCAAGCTCTAATCTTCCTATCACTCTAAGACGTGAACTGAAAGCTCAAAAAATGTCAGTGTGTCGTATAGGTAATACCAGCGGCTTGTAGAAAGAAAGTAGCTCTAGACAGAAACATATGTAACTGTAACAACACATTCTGATGAACTTGTTATGCAAAAGTAACTGATAAAGGAGTGAAAAAACACACAATAGTTTTTGCATCAGCTTTCAAGAGACCAAATGTTAGGTCTGCTTACTATCTGGGAAAAATTCATGGTGAAGAATTACATGCAGCATTTACTTGCTCCATAATAGATTTAATTTTAAAATACCATAGAGATTATCAGAGACATAAATTAGCATTTATTATAATATATTTAAATGCATAATGAAATATTTTCTAAAATTGAAGCTCAAGAATTCTCACCACGAAACAAGATATCCTGGGAATTAATTCTACTGCAGCTGGAATAATACAATGATCCAAGTGATTAATGAGTTTCCTCTGTGTCACTATTTTACTGAGGTGTTTTATGGTATTTACATTTAAAGAGAATTTAAAACAATTCTACAAGAGTAAATTTCCTTGTTGGAATAGCATTTATATGTGATTTATGTTTTTTTCTATAATATATACAGAATATACAAGTTTTATGAAAGGATTTCAACTTTATGCAGTTTGATGAATTTCCATGCAAAGTTGCCCTGCTAAACAATTCTTACTCTCTCCATGCTTTCCCATTAATTAAGGTTATCAATCTTTATTAAATGAAGAATGTTAGAGAAGTGTTAAAATAATCATGAATTTCAAGGAATAGCAACAGCCATCTTTGCTGAATATTATGAAGTCTAGTTTTAACATTTGGTTCATAGCCCTAACAAAAACCTTGGGTATCCATCCCTCAAATATTGGTTTTCATTTATTCATTCAGGCATGAATAGATTATAATCTCTACCTGGTATTTAGTATTTTCCATTTGTCTCTGAAAAACTTCCAGGCAAGATCTCGGCCATGTGGATTTCTGGCTACATGGATTATGACATCAATTGCATCTTGATCCAACACCACCTCAGAATTCAGAGACAGGTTTAGAAGCCTATAAGGATAAAATTGTGGGGAAACTTAAACACTTTATAATCTTAAGTTTTAAAAAAATCACAATTTATTCATATTCTTCAAAAATACTTGAGTTAAAACTTTCCCAATGAATAATTACCAAACAATTTCTGTTTAGAAAATACAGATAAAATTTGTGGCACTTTCACAAAATACATTAATTAAACTCTAAGAATATCTATGGGATGAGAAAAAAATCAAAAATCATATATGTTGACACAACTCCAACTCAAATTCTTCACACTAAACATTTCCTTTTATAGTGAAATATTTTCTCAAATATATATAAAACTTTATAAAATAATTAGTCATAAACAATGCTGTCTTTCAAGTCAAGTTGATTTAGTCATCTTACCATGTAGGCTTCCACCTCTTTATAAAAGATGTGTTTCATAGGACCAAATTTTACAGTACCATATATTCAAGGAAATAAAAATCAACTCTGGAGCACTTTAATTGTAGATGGTAACATTCATTACAAAAATAACTTGGGAAATTTAATGGACTCACCTATTTAATAAATTCCTGTCATCACTGCAAGTTAGAGCCTCCAGTAATATCTTCTTCTCTGAAACTGCAGTAGTGGAGTGGAATTTCATCCAGATGAACTCCCAGACATCCTCGTCCAGCAATGACACTCCTGTGCAGTAGACGATGTCTCTAACATTGAGTGGTATTCTAAGGAAGCAACCCGTGGTGGTTTTCTATTAATCAAAAGTTTTGTGGTTTTGAAAATAAAGACCAATTTTGCTTTCCTACAGCCAGCTACTTAAAAGATGATTTACCACTTACATTTCTCCTAAAACAGTGTAATACTACCTAGTACTGATATTCAGATATATTGGTGACTAGAAAATAAAATAGTGTCTTTTATTCCAAGGAAGTTCTGAATTTCATTTTTGTTTATGCTCATAAAATTATCATTAAACAAACTAACAACAAAGCCCTGTTAAAGCATCAAAAACATAAAGTCCTTTCTATTTTCAAAGGCATTAATTGAATTGCTATCTGAAAATTTGCTTTCATAATGTATACACTCAGAAAATGACAACAAAGGTAGTAGATGGTGAATTTATTTGGATAAAAGTCAACCACTTCATTTTAAATTCTTTTTGAAAAACAATCTATTTAAAAAATGTAATGTGTATGTGCGAGGGTCTGAGTGTATGTAACTGAATCAGGTTTGTGCCAGAGCCTGGAGAGATCAGAAGAGGGCATCAGGTCCCCTGGAACTGAAATTACAGGTTGTCAGACCGTTGAGCTGGTTTCTTGGAACTGAACCCAAGCCAAGTCTTCTAAACGAACAGAAAGTACTTTTAACTGCTGAGCCATTGATCCAGCACTAAGGGACTTTCATGTGGCCAGTAGACAGGATAGAACCCATGACCTTGGTGTTATTAGCTCCACATTATAAACAACTGAGCTAACTGGCCATTTTTACATTTTTATATTATCTAGAAGTAATTTCCTCAAACATTACAAATATAGAATCATAAATTTAATGATAAACAATAAAACATAACTAATAAAGACCTTTCCACTATGTTTATGTGATTATTATAAAACAATAGTAAACTATTACTTTGACTCCAAAATAAAAAGTCAGAGTGAGAAAAATTAGCATAAATTTAGTTACACTTGGCAATTCATGAATTATAAATTTGCAAGTCAACTTTCTCACAGTGATGTTCCATGATACACCACACTCCCTTGCTCTGTAGAATATTTGTCTTAAGGAATATTTGAAGACTTTTTACAAGTTGGAACGTGCATATCTCTTTTTGTAATATTCATTAGTCTATTAGTTACATTTCCCATTAATAATTTGAATGTGACTACACAGATTGTCTTCTCCAAGTCACAGGAAGAAACAATGTTCTTTAAAGATTCAGAACTTTTATTGTTAAACACAAGTATGGATAAAGCAGTATGGAAAAGCAGAAGACAGTCTGAGTGTCTACAAGTGTGGGGATGGGAGTCATTTCCAGTGGTTAAGAAAGGCTGCTCACAAGAGAGAAACCCTTTCCCTTGGGGCTGTGTTAGCAGGCAAGCATCTGTTCATCCGTTTTTTAAAAGGTGAGAAGAGTGGAGGAGGAGGATAGAGGTAGAGTCCACAGCAGTAGAGGACTTCACAGCTTATCTTTCTAGCTAAGCCTGGATATCAAATAGAAACTGTCAGCAGGAGTCTTCTCCTGTCAAGAGTGGGTGACACAGATTTCTTCCTTTCTGTTTATGACCAGCTTGCTACAATGCATACTTAAATTCACTAAGGAGAGTACTGTTACTTTTTTTTTTCTTTTTACAGAAAGTACTCATTCTGAATAGGTATTATTTAAGATCAGTCAGATGTCTTCAACAAATCAGCACTTATATATCAGGATGGGTCTTCTCTCCAAGTACTATGAGATGGAGAGGCCAACACTGCAATACTGCATGGCTTTGGCCAAGAAATTGATATAGAACTTTGCAAGTAACCCCCCCGCAAAAAAAACCTCTAGCATTTCTCCTGAAATCACTAACTCATCAATCAATATTAGATATGTTAGTAACAGCTTAATTTCCAAGAGAAATTAAGCTATTGACAGATCAAAGAGATGAGAATAGAGCCCATTAAGTTAAGATTCTTATGGCTACATGACCAGCATCCATACAAAACATTCCATGTTTAAAAGTACGGAAACTAAAGAAAAGAAACAAAGTTAAACGGTAGATGACAAACTATATTCCCTAGAAATTTCATGAATATTATACTACAGCCACTAGCTAAAGTTGTTTCATTTATCATCTAGAGGTGACTCCTGGCTATACCAGTCAAACTGTGTAAGACACACACACACACACACACACACACACACACACACACACACACACACACACATGCACACATGGTTTGGTCATGACAACATCTTACATTCTAAAGAGTCATCAGAGGCCAAAACTAACATGTTGAGGAATGCCATGTTCTGAGTTATTCTTTTTGTAGTCTGTGTCCGAATTATTTTTGTCAGTATCTAATGTCTGCATGACATCTGTGTCTTCAGCTACTTTTTGTAGCAGAAGGGACTCTGGGTTGAGAAGGAATATTTTCCATTATAAAAGTACAGTTACTTATACACTCTGTGTACGTGTGTCTGTTCTACCTTTTCAGCCTAGAGACAAGTGATGCCAATGGTTGTGGTGTATCTCTGTATATATTTCTTGGGATTCATTGTATTCTGCATTCTTGGACTCCTTGGTCCTGCATGCTAATTTTCTTCCACAGACCAAGGAAGAATCAGGCTCTGAATCTTTCCGACAACTTTCTGGTCCTTTCCCTCTGTCTTTTCCCACCTAGACTTGTGCAGTGTTCATGTTGGTCTGCTTGACAGTATCCTAAAAGTCCCTTCATATTTCTTCACTCCTTTCCATCCCTGTAAGTTTTCTTCTCTATGATAATTACCTCTAGTGATCTGCTTTTGATTTGCTGATGCTTATGATTGCTTCCATCTGCTGGTGAAGCCTTCAAGTGAATTTTAGTTCAGCTGTTCATTTCCATGCCCTGTTGGTACTTTTAAGTATTTTCATCTTTATTGAAATTCATAGCTTTACTTTCATTTTCTCTTAGCTTGAGTGAGCACACTTATGACAGTGATTTTGCACTAACAAGTAAACAATCAAGTCTATTTCATTAAGAGGAGTTTCTAGATTTCTCTGCTTATTTCTTCACTTTCTAGCTTTATTATTTATGTGGATTTCTGTACATTACTCTTCTTTGCACAAGTTCCTAAAGATGCTTCGTACAAGAGAAGACTGATAGAAACCAGCCTGGCTAGAAATTCTGGAAGGCCTCTACCACACAGCATCTTCTCAGGAAAGCAGCAAACAGCTGCAGCTTTTGTCTGCTTACTCTGTGCTGAGCTAGGAGAGAAATGGTGATGTCTAACAGTTCAACCCACTGTCTCCATTCTTTGTTAGGTGTCTAGATCACATTAGATGCATCAGAAGTCCATGTCTGGAAAGCCTGATGCTCTCTTTGGAGACAGACTCGGAGAAACTGGGGCATTGTGTGCACAGGTTAATGCTTCCTCCAGAAGGAAGCTAACAGTTGGAATCCCCACCCACCTTGGGTCTGTGTTGAGCAGCAGGGGAGGTACTCTGTACTTTCTAGTCCAAAGCAGGCTCTGAACTCTGTTGGTGGTTAACCTTTGTTAGATCTGTCAGAACTCTTAAGACTGGTGAAGAAGATCACGCCAAGATCAGTGCATCTTTTAAGAGACCACCATTGTGAATGTCCGAGCCTAACCAAACAGAAATTTCAATGCCAGTATGACCAACATGTAATTCTCTGAGAGTTTAGCTGGACATGGATGTCATCTCTAATATCTTTTTGAATTTTATCTTTTAAGCAGTGTTTACTATGTTATCTTTCAGAAATACTCAGTGGTGGCAAGATTGGATTTCTAACAATAAACATTACAATTACCAGCACTGTCATGATACCCAGTAAACATAGCCTTTAAGTGTCTGAAAAGGACACAATTTAGCAGTAATCTAAGGATCTACCATATAGCAAAACAATCCGAAGAAACCTTGAAACAAAAATCCAGCAATAAAAGTTTGGAAATTATGATGGATGTGATGAAGAAATATAACTTTGAAATCAAAGCTACATAGAAGGACAAAAGGTTCTATGTAGAAATCTGCAGCTGTAAATCATGGTAAATGCTGCATAATATGGATGTGCTTTGGGTCTGCTTTCACTCCCGTCACAGGCTGACTGTCCCGTTGTACATAGTACACATATCAAACTTGATGAGGGGGAAAGTGAAACACACATATGTTTGAATAGATAATCTAAAGCCTAAAAAAAAAATCTTCAGTCTTGGGAACAAACTCCCCAAGTCTCAGGAAAGAAATGGCTCAATTAGCAGATACCAGGAGGTATAATTTCATATTTCTCCTCCAAGAGGAAAGAGGCAGAGATGATTAGCCCAAGAATGCTGATTTTTCTAGCAACTCTCCCCACTTCATCAGTTTCTGACTTCCTTTGCCATTCACCAGATAAAAACAACGTATAGTTCACAAGATCATTCTTACTCATTACTGAAAATAAGAACTGGATATGCCAGGGGCCCTCAATTCCCAATGACTTCCATTGTTAATGAAACTCCCCTTTGTTCCTAAATTTGTAAAGATGTTCTAATAACATTTTCGCAAAATGATTGCTCTGGGGACAGTTTAAGATCTCTTTGTATAAACCAAAGTCATTAGGAATAAATGAAAAGGCTCATTTGTTTGTAAAGCATTATCTAAGAGACCACAGAACCCATAGTTATGAATGGTACAAATGAGTCCTGGGAGACACTGGATATCAAGATTACAGGGATCGGGGGCCCCTTTCTAGTGAACATGAAAATTGTTTATGGAAATGTGAATATCCCCACAGTCATTCCTTTTTAACTGCTGCCTCAGAAGTAAATCTTTTAATGGGATTTTATCTGCTGTGAAGAACGATGTGTTTGATTTTTTTTTGAGGCAGGGGTGGAGTGGGGGGAGCTGGAATGGTATACAAGCATGGACAGTAAGTCTCACCTAGTTACCTGATGGAAGATGAATGAATGGGGTAAGGCTTAGCCAAAATGGAAATGTTTTTTATCTTTCTTAGAGTAGGAACACCGCAGAAATTATTGCCTAATTAG